ACGAGGCTGCGCGGTCGGTTGTCGGGCTCGCTGCTGCTGCTCGGGAGCTGGGCGAGGAGCCAGGAGGCCGACCTGACACATGAGGGGTTTTGAATTCTTTCCAGGGAGGTGTTTTGGGGCTCTTTTTTTCGAATTGTTGGTGTTAGGAGCTTTACCCAAACCGTAGCGGACGGGTGCGCGCTTGCGCAGGCAGCAGGCCCGGGCGGAGGCCCAGAGCCAGCCTCCTAAGAGCAGCTGTTTTCTGCGCCCTGAAGCCCTAGCAGCGTTTGCACTGGTCGTTTCGGTACCTCCCCGTGGTTCTGCCTGCTGGGGGCTAGTGTGCTGCAGTCAGGGGCTCCCACACCACGTACATGCGTGGCCTGACCCTTGCCATGTCCTAAAAGGCAGGGAAATCCCTTGGGCTCTGGCAGGCCGACGGGGAAGATCTGCTGGTCCCGACTCTAGGGGCTCCCTCCGTGGAGCTTACCTGGACAACAGGGAGACCCTGCGGGTGAGCAGAGGGCAGTGATGAGGCACTGATCTTTACAGAACAGCTGAAATTGCCAAGAGAAGTGTAGTTAAAAGTGAGTTTTGGTTAAGCAAAGTTCAGGAAGACTGGACTGAATGTCCTAACAGGCTTTTTACGTGAGCTAGGAATTGTAGGTGCTTAATAATGTCAGTGTCCTTGATGTATAGTACTCCAGATGTTTCTTCATGAGTTACTCTTCAGGGCACCTCAGCATCACTGTATAAACTTACGGTGCAACACAGAGTATCTGATGGAGAAAATGCAAACCCATCCCTATTTGGAGGAGGAGATTCATCTAACTATCCACCTAGAAGTGGAAAGGGAATCACCTCCCAAGGGCGGTTCATACAGCCAGCCCTGGGATAGGGCAAGTCTCTACCCACCTCACTATTTGCTACAGAGGCAGCCTACTAAAGTCTAGGCACCTACTTTTTAAATGGCTACATTTAGACTGGTGGGTGCTATTTTTTATGATACTCACCAGCCAATGTTTACTGCAGTTTATTGTTAAAAAAGAAGGTTCCACCCTTTTTCTACTGGTTCTTCATATAGGATAACAGGCACTGTATACAGCAGTTCATGCACACACACTCTCATTGATATTTTAACTAAGCGAAGAGACATACGTATGAGTAGTAAACTGCATGGCTAGCCTGCCCAGCTGTAGTTAGGATGAAAGTGCAAACATAGTAGCATGTCACAAAACAGTGACTTTCCCCATTTTTTGTGGTTTAGCCATTAGCTATTGCATGGGCTTTCTTTCCTGATCAGTAACAACAGTAGAATGATAACAGCTGCCAAGAAAATGAATAGATCCTTAGGTGTTTTAGTAAAAGGCAGATGCATAACAATTTCAGCCAAGCACCGGGAAAATCTTGCCAAGGCACCTTGCCAAGGCACTAGGCTATCGTGTTTCTGAAGGTGCAGTTCCATTTTTCAAAAAAAACAACAAACAAAACAGTTTGTGAATACCCTATGGAGACCAGTGAGGCAGATGGTAAGCTGGTTTCTATCTAATGGGACTTTTGAGAATCCTTGAAGAGCTGTTGAGCAATGCAAGACAAATAAAAAGTGCTTGAGAATGACATATTTCCCACAAAAGCTGACCTAGAGAAGGGGAAAAAAAGGAGGGATATGCATACAATTTGTCATTTTTTTCCCAAGCTGACCTATTTTCTGAAGAAAATTAACTATTACTATTTTCTGTCTAGTAACTCTCTTCAGAACTCTCTTGTGTTCTTCTGCTCCTGTGTCTTTGCTGAATGACAACAGCAGTAAGCCTCTTCAAAGACAATTAACACTTAAAAATATTCATTGAAACTTTGCAAGACAGATTAAGTTCTAATTTTTGTTCCAATGTATCCCCTTAAAGTATTTGGGTTGATGCAGAGTTAAGCCAACATCGTGTTTAAAACATTATGTAGTAAATTTAAGAAGAAATAAATAACTAAAAATTTTGCATTTTTTAGATACATGGGCTTCTTTCTCATCCATCTAATCAGTGAGTGGATCACAGAAGTGACCCAGCGAGTATGCGGAAAATTCTTACAAGACAGTTTACGTGGAGACAAAGTAAATCCCTTATCAAATTACATTGAAATGCAGTTAATTACAATTGGGAGATGATGCCTATCAATTTTAAGAAGCTAAAATATTCTGCCACTACTTTTCTGTATTGGCTTCTCTATTAGATCCAGAGAACTAAAGTGATTGAAAAGACAGTCTCGATCAGCATTAAACATTTGACAATGAAGAACTTGACACTGAAGGCTAAAAGATTTTTGAAAGTCTGAAAATTAGAAGGGGAAATCCTAATACTGGAACTAAAAATGCTCTGTTGAAGTTTCATGATAAATCTTAGCTGTTATATAGCACTCTCCTGACCTTATTTTACTGTTAAAGGGAACTCAGTAGTTGGCACTCAAAAAGAAACGTGGTTGTTCCCTCTTGAGTATGAAAATTACAGTACTATGGCACTTCATTTTTATGATGATAAAACTTTTTAGCCTGCTCCAGTTACCGAGTTCTTAGGCCTGTCTTACAAACGTGCAGCTTGTTTTAGTCCTTTATCTTTGTCCTATAGTCAGGAAGGTGAGTCTCTGGATAATGCCATCAGAGTGAATGCGACCAGGTATCCAGGAGAGAGTTGGGTGTGAAGCTGGAGACATTGACGTGTGAAACCTGGCGTAATGCTACAGACTGCGACAATTTATTCTCTTAGCCGCGGGGAGAGATGGACGTGTTACAGAAAGCTTTGAAAGTGAGTATTGTGTGCCTCAGAAGACTCTGCCCTTATATACTATGAAAGAAAGCCGTTTGGATGAAAATTACCTGTTGCTGTTTAACCAGCTGTGTTTCATTGAGTTCCACCCTGGTAATGCCCTAAATCCACCCTAAATTAGTAGGTTAGAGAACTTCCCGTTTTCATTGGATTTGTAAGAATGTTCTCGTTATCTCAGCTCTTGCTTGCCTACTCCTACTCTGGCAACGACACACCAAAATGAAAAGCATATACTTTGCATAAACCTCAAAAACATTTCACTGAAAGTCTAGAAACATTTATCTGAGTTAGGCAGAAAGCACACACAAGAAAGTAATCTCAGCGGGGTTTTTTGAAGTCAGGCAGCTTTGTAAGAAGTAAAAAAACCAAATTGTTCTGCTTCTCAGGCAATTTTGGAAATGCCTGTGTTATACTGGAAATTAACATACTTTCTGATAACAGTGAAACAAATCAGTGGCGCCTGTACTTTAAGCTATTTACTGTAATATATATATATTTTTAAATAGCAATACAGGTCCAGCTGTATGTGACAAAACGCTCAAAAAGTTGGAAGATTGTTGGGTATCAAAAAAAGCGTATACATTCAGGGAGAAGGAGTGTGAGAAAAAACACTGAAATAAAACAGAAAACTATTTATTATAGCCATTTTTTTTTCCACACAATTTCCACTTCAGGAATACTGGTGAACGAAGACTTTGAATTATGATGAATTAATACACAGTAAATGCATACTTGAATTTAAATAAATATTGCAAGCCATAAAGTGAATAATAGCATTTTAAAGTGCATGCAAAGTTTTATAAATAGAAGCCTGCTCCATTTATAGCTCTATGGAAATTTACTGATTAGATCTGTAGACTCTAGGACTTATTTTTTTCCTTTTTTTTTTTTTTTTTTAATTGGGAGGTATATAGTGAGTGCTGCAGTGGTTTGCAGAGGATGGAGGAATTGGGTTAAATGCTGTTCTGGAGCTGTGGATTTTCTTAGTGACTGTGCTCCAGAGTTCTGATGTGATGATGGACACTCATTTTAACCAACTTTTCAGTGTTGGTAAGTAAGGATGGCATTTAGTTGCCTAAAACAGGTGACTAATGTTTTAGATGCCCAATCAAGCCTCTAGCTGCCACTCCAGAAGGGCAGGAGTATCCTGCAGATTTTGTGTCGTATTTGTCAAGATGTGAAGATGTCTTGAGACCCAAGAACAGTTAAAATGGCTTTCATTGCCTGTGTTTGTGCACCTGAATTACTTCTTATTTTTGTCCCATGTTTTTTCCTGGGTGGTGCTGAACCTGAACCCCTAGCCCCTTTTCCTAGGTGCCCAACCTGATTTGAAGAAAAGCTCAATATGCTCAGCTACAGTGGGAGTCAATGGAGTCCCAGCTAGCCACAAGGAACAAAGGTTCTTCCTCTGGCTTCTCTAGTTGTGCCCTCTCAGTTTCGGTTTGTCTGCCTGTTTTGGGGTAGTAGTCTGTGATTCTTACCTCAGGCCCACTGTGAACTGTTATGATTTAGTAGGTCTGACTGTTTTTTGACATTTGGCAATTTTTTTTTTCCTCTGGACATCTGTAGTTAGTCATGACCAAACTGACAGACAGAATAAAAAAAGACACTTAATATTGTTTAAACAACTGGAAGAAGTCATTGAAAAATTTATTAAAAAGGACCCAGTCTATACATATGCCTATCTTACCTGAACATCTTTTTCCTAGTGGCATACTACACAAACCTAATTTTTCGGACTGATTTATTTAGTCCTTGAGTGACGATCCAGCTCTTCAGGACCAGTCTGTACCACTGTGTCTTCGAGGTGGGCTTGCTGAGAGCTGTGAGTTCTTTTGCCTCACTGCATTACTGAGCTTTGACCTTCTTGACAAAACGGGCTCCACAGCTTGACGGGCAAAAAAACTTTGCAGCTAACAGTTTGGGCATTGTCCCTTAATAACGTTTAAAGTATGTGCTGAGCCATAGCTTCTTTTTCAGCCAGTTTTCCTCTTTCTGCCTGTTTTTCTCTACATCTCCTGAAAATAATACATTTCTTGGGGTAAACATCTATGCCAATGCTATATGCACATGTGATTGAAGAGAAGCTCCTTTGCCATACTTTCAGTATAAAACATACTACAGAATGTTAAATTCTTAGGAAAATCAGTTGGCTGCACCTTAGAAGGCACACCCCAACCTAGTGGGCATTTTCAACCTTAATGTTTCTGTTCCACAGCCCCCCAGTATACAGTGGAAGTGATAATACAGCCCCATCCCATTGCAGGAGTGCTTGAGGATTAGTAACTGCTTATGAAGCACTTGGATGCTACTATAATGATGAGCGCTGTAGAACAACTAGAGGTCAACGTAACTGTCTTGCTAGACCAATGTTAGATGAGTAAATTATAAACAAGCTTCAGTGTATACATTGACTAGTGGGGATTCGGCAAAATGTATTAGTGTCCGCTAGTGTCCCTGTCCATTTAATATACTGACTGTGGAAAAATAGTACCTGACTATTCAACTAAAGCCCTTGTCACAATCAATAACAGAAGGCGGGCTGACTTTTTCTTAATGCTTGCCACACCCTCGCCCTTTCCCTAGCTCTAATGCAGAGGTAACATATGTCCACCTCACAGGGTTGTCTTCAGAGACAAAAATATTTTGTAATCATTTGGTGAAAATCACCAAAGAAATGAAAAGCATTTAAGCATTATTTTTATGCCAGTTTCTTTAAAAAAGTCCCCAGACCTTAAAAATTTGCGAAGTACATATTAAACCAACATTTATATGAGTTGCCAACGTTGCTGGAAGTATTTGGTTAATCATCTTCACGCACAAGACATCAAAACCCAAAGTATGCTCTCTTTTTCTGAATGATTAAGCCAGGCTTCCCGGAACATTTCACTAGCGAGCAGGGTCATGACAATCTTTTTAACAACAAAGTGAATGGGAAATACATGTAGTCCAGTCTTAGAAGTCATATAATCAGCTGTTTAAAAACAGAAAAAATGGGAAAAGGAAAGAGTTAAAGAGTGACCATCCCAAAGATGTGAAAAGAAAAGAAAAGTCAAAGATGCAACTCAAAAGAAATATAGGTTATTTTGATGGGGTAAGTTTTATTATAGGATCTATAGTAGGGGCAGGGATCTTTGTGTCTCCCACAGGAGTGTTAAAACACTCCTTGCTTAATGTCGGTGTTGCGCTTACGATCTGGACGGCCTCTGGGCTAGTTTCTCTGATGGGTTCCCTCTGCTATGCCGAGCTTGGAACCGCTCTGCCGTTTTCTGGAGGCGAATACAGCCATATTAAAAGAGGCCTTGGATCCCTGCCAGCCTTCATGTTCATCTGGACGTCCATGTTTACTAAGCCGGCATCGAATGCCGCTCGAGCTTTGCTGTTTGCTGAATACGCCACCCAGCCTTTCTATGGCGTGTGCCCCGCGCCTCAAGTGCTGAAGAAATGCTTGGCCTTGGCAGCTCTCTGGTCCCTGGGGATTTTGAACGGGTGCAGCGTCAGAATGGCTGCGTGGGTGCAGACGGTTTTCACTGTGCTCAAGATGATGGCACTGTCTGTCATTGCCATCGGCGGCCTAGTTCTCCTCCTGGGAGGCAGAAAGGAGCATCTGGCAAGATTCGAGGACGCGTTCAGTTCGGAGATTCCCAATGCGTCACAGATTGCCGAAGCCTTCTTCCAAGGGTTATATGCCTATGGTGGCTGGTGGTCCCTCAATTACATGGCAGGTATCTCACTCCTTTTCTTTAGAAATTGTTCTGCAGTCGTGCTTACATTCCTCAACGTGCGTTAGTAGAACTTGTCTCTCAATCAAAATGGAAGAGTCTGTAAAGATTTAAATTTTATAAAGCATGTTATTCAGAAGTTTTGTTTGTTTGGGTTGATGAAAGAGGAATTGTTCTTCTCTATAGAGCTTTCTTCTTTCACGTGCAGTCTCCAGAATCAGACTGATATTTAAACAATAATACAAGAAAATTAATTTTTTTTAAAATCTCACATGTAAATAGAACGTTGCATATCTTAAAAGAATTCAGTTGTCTCTCTCAATGTGAATTGCCTTTCTGCCAAAGGATGCTTGTATTAAAAAGTCTCTGCCAAACCATGTGTACAGTAAGAACCAAACCCATAAAAATAATTAACTGATAAATTTGTATTTAGATACCTATACCCTCTCTGAAGTTATCCAGTTGACTTTTACATGGACACTTCACTTTGAATTGTATTAAAGTTTAGCAATTCCAAGGGATATATTGGATGGTTTGTCAGTAATCAGTTCCTTGGGAAAATACAGTTTTGCAGAGAGGATAGAGAAGAATGTAAGGAAAGTAATATAAATGCTTTTATGTAACTTATACTCAATTTTAAACATTCAAAACGTTTTTGAGTATTCATTTCCTTATCCTGTTTTATACCTGATGACACTTAACGACAGTGGTAAGTAGAGCAACCACGATTACAGCGTTTCATGACAGCTGCAAAGAGGTAATGTTTACAATGTTAGCTATGCACTGCACAATGAGTTAAATGAATAGTGTTTTACAGTATCACTAGTTTTGAAGAATTAAGTGGTAAGCTAATGGATATTGCTCTTATATCTTTAGCCTTATTGGCTTCTTTAGCCTTTCTGGCTTCTATCCCATGTCAAACATTAAATAGACCAATATACCAAAACAAAGTTCAGTGGTGAGAAGAAGGTGAAAATTGGGTTAATGTTTAAAGAAATGACTGTTGTTATTAAATTAAAGTTATTCTTGCTTTGGGAATATGCTGAAATTTAAAAAGTGATATGAATCAGAAAAATACAAATTTGAAATATTAAGATTTTCTTAAAGCAAGCATTTGGCTTTGTAACCTCCCTAAAATGCAGAATTATTCATAAAATACTATTTTATTTTCTGTTAACAGTAGTAATAAATACAGTACTTTAGGCAGCACAGCTGTTTAGACAGATGCAACCTACGTAATAGATGTCTTTTGCACTGAATTTCCTATTTTTTAACAATGGCTTTCATTCCTGCGAGCTTAAGCTAAAGAATCAGGTGCCAGCTGGATGGCAGGGCTGTAACTAGCAGCAAAACGGAGAGATGAGTTTAGATCGGCAGTTCTAGTGATTATGTCTTTCTGTGCTCACAATTGCCAAATGCCTTTCTTACATTTTTAAACAAATCCCAAATCCTCTGCTAGACTGCCTCTGAACGTCCCTGTTGTGCTCACGCAGCCACTGTGGCTCTGTACACTGCACCCTGTTGGCCAGGGTTAAAGCTGACGTTCTGGCCGGGAGACAGCAATGATAACTGAGGGAGGAAAAAGGATCCTCCTACCACCTAGCTTAAGTGAATCACATTCCTGTTTGACTTTTCACTTCTCCCTCCCTTTGTGAGTTATCCGTTTGTAATGTTTAGGAGTACCTTTTGTAACGCTTAGGGAGACTGGAAAGGGAGCGGGAGAGGGGGGGAAAGAACAAAGGAGTGAAAGAGAAGAAATCGACCCGTTTTCCCCAATCCTTTTGGACTGAGGTGAGGATCAAGTATTAGAGTTCCGGAAAGTCTGTATCTGTAAAGCCTCTCCATGACGCTATCTATGTGCAACTCCTGCCAGAAATGAGGCTGGATGCATTTTAAGATGTTGCTGTCCATAGAAATCAACTCCATCTTTTGCTGGGTTTATCACATCATTTGTTAGGAACATGTGCCAGTGTTTCAGTTGTTCAAATGTGAAGTTTGGAGTTATTTTTTTATTCTGATAAGGGTAGTTTTAAGCTAAGATTTAGGACCTTTATAACCTTAGTGCCAGGTTTAGCACTAAGCAGTTTTCTTCTGCCAGCTTTGCCCCAGCAAAGGGAATCAAGAGCAGAACCTAGCTGGGAATGGTGCCCTTTATAATCACTGCATTACTTCTCTTCTGTCAGTGCTCTCCTGTTATATTTCCTGTACTCCCTGAAATAACAGCAATGTTTCGTATAGGAATAGGAAACTGATCATAAAGTCTCAAATCAGGACTCATGAGGTGAGGTAAGAAAAAACAAACTAATTTTAGAGTCTCACGTTCAATCTTGTGATGTAAAAGTAGGGTTACTTGAAAATTTCTTGTCAAACCTTTTCCTAATGTAGTCAGATTTTTTGATTAATCACGTCAGAGAAAACTTTGCCCCTACCTATCCCTTCTCCCAAGATACCTGATAGCTGAAAAATAGCTAAATAAGAAAAAGAAGATTTTAAACTTAAATTTTTTTTGGTTTATGCTTCTTTGATACTAAACTATTTGAGAATCACTGTGCGACCTCACAGGCAATGTAGTTTGGCAGCTGTGATTATGATTTGGGGCGTGATTTCTGCGCCAGTCTTGTCAAGCTCTGTGTCAATTCAACATGGAAACATGCTTGCTTTATTAAATTTCCTTTTAAATTGTATTTTTCAGAGGAGATGAAAAACCCTAGTAGAAATATCCCTTTAACTGTGATGACTGCGGTTCCTGCAGTAATTGTATTTTATTTACTGGTAAATGTCTCATATCTGACTGTCCTCACACCTAAGGAAATTGTCTCCTCAGGTATGGATTTTATTTTCTTCTTACTAAAAAGGGGTGGTTCATTAGCATACCTGTCTGATGCCAGCTTACGGGGTAACTTGTGCTTACCTAACATCACAGTCGGGAAGTTTGGGTTTCACTATAAGATTTAACAGAGAACCCTTGCTGAATCCTACCTTATGGCAAGAGTTGGACTGGATATACACAGACAGTGTAGCATATTGAAAATGCTGGCTTAAACCTATAGCGTCCAAAGAGAAATCAGAAGTATATTAAAACCTGCAAGATCAGGCGGAGATCAGGATTGTGCTTAGTATAGATTAGGCCTCTGTTTTCCTGTAGTTTTAATCCTTTATCCTCCTTTCTTCCCACCTTCACGGTGCTTTAGGCTAAAGTCATTATTATGTAGGAGATGGACAAGTCTGCCATGATAAACAATATCGAAAAGGCTGTAGACCCCAAATTGTAGCCCTTTTGGGGTGTGTTATTCATGATAAATACTCTCATATTGCTGCAGTTCTTGTACATTCACTACCTTTCCCCCCCCCCCCTTTAATTTCCTTCCTGTGCTGCGCAGATAACTGCAAGGCCTATGTTCCTCATGGCATTTGGTTATAGGCCCATTAAGTAGTAGTCCTCACTACAATATGGGCCAGTTTCTAAGAAATACTGAGAATCTTTTGTTCAGAAATAGTCTTTCATATTTTCTAGTTCCATCCACAACAAAAACGCCATTAATAATACATTTGCTGACCTGTCTCTGCATGTACATGCAGTCATTTTGGCAGTTTCCTCATAACAGTAGATCATGTCACTGCTATGATCGTGCAGGGAACTAATGTGTTCATTTTCTTTCCCCAGATGGCCTTGCCGGGTGTGTACATTTATGATTCATGACAGTACATTGTGGCCATGCTGTTTGCCCCCACTGGGCATTTCCATTACCTTGGGACAGGCCAGAGCAGGCTTACCCAGCTCGCTCTGGCGGGCAGCACTCCTTCTTGCTATCCTCTCCCAGGGAATTTTTAACTCCTGAATAACATATTCTTAAGATTAGATTAGTCACTTTTGATTATTGTAACAAAAAACGGGCTTTGCTGGTAAATGATAAAGACTTGATATTTGTTAAGTTTCTTCTCTGTTGAGTCTGTTGCCAATTCAGAGCACGGTACCTACACTCCTTACTAACGCTTTGTTTTCTTGTAGTTGCTGTGGCAGTCACTTGGGCTGATCGAGTGATCCCCTCTGTCGCCTGGATCATTCCTCTGTCTGTTGCTGTCTCAATATTTGGTGCCCTCAACAGCAGCATGTTCGCATTAGGTCGATTAAGCTATGCTGGCAGTCAGTCAGGACACTTACCTATTTTAATATCCATGCTTAATGTCCACTCCTGTACTCCAGCACCAGCCATGATTTTTTCAACCGCCATTGCATCCATTTTTATTATCCCCTCTGACCTTATTATGTTAACAAATTACTTTGGATTTTCTGCCTGGCTTATGATTGGACTGACTTGTGCAAGCCTGATTGTACTTCGATACCGGGAACCTAATCTACATCGGCCATACAAAGTAAATGGAAATAAGTTTTTAAATATTTTCACATATTTTTTTAGTCATGGGTAGCACCCAAAAGTTACAGAACAAGTGCAGTGTTCTGTACTTGTGTTGTGATTGTGCAGTGATAGCAGCAATCATAAATTGATAATCACCAAAGACATAAAACCAATAATCACATTGTTTGAAGTCTTATTCATAGTCTGGAATAGCTTTGCTTGTACACTGTGCAAAGAGGGGACAAAAACAAATGGTCCCTTCTTTAGAGAGCTTAAAACTGAAAACTGAAAACAAGAGATGGATTTAGACAGAATGGGGGAGATATACAAACAAGGCGAAACGGGAATACGTAACAGTGTGACAGGCTGGCAGTTCCTGGTAGACTTTGCCATGTCTGTGTCTACCACCTGACACAACCACAGGCACTGACAGGTACAATTTCATCGAAATTTAGCTGTCGGAAAGACGGGTTGGAAGTGTATGCTAATCGTCTAGGCTGCTTCTAGGCGCGTAAGCTTGAGCTTCTTATAGGTGCCCATATTAACATATGTGGATGAATAACTTCCAGTGGGTGTCTGTCTCTTCCCCATGATAACAGAAGGAGCCTACAAGTATTTTAGAAAAGATACCTATCTTAAGACAATTTTAGGTTGGATGAATCTCATCCGGGGTGAGATTGCAGCAATGTGAGAAATTATAGTGTAGTAGAGGGTGTGTTATTACTCTTATAAATGATACGTAAAATCGCAGTTGATCAGATTACTTCCTCAAGCAGTTTTTTTCCTTCTTTTGCAGGTGTTTCTACCAGTTCCATTTATGATGGTGGCAATGTCTTTCTTCTTAGTTTTAGCTCCTATGGTCTGGTCTCCAAAGCTGCATTATGTTTATGCTTTCCTGTTTATGCTAGGCAGTCTCATTGTTTATTTACCTTTTATATATTTTAAATTGCATTTTGCATTTGTTGATAAAATTACTTGCTACTTACAGTTACTGTTGGAAGTTTCTCCTGCTGATGGATCTGCTGACAGCAAATATGAATAATGGCAAATGTTTAATCCCTGTACAACTAACAGCCAACAGAGGGTTTTCTTTAACTAAGGTTGTTGAAGACACAAATTACATGTTAGGTGTCAGTTGTGCATGTGCCTGTGTGTGTGTGTGTGTATTTCTATGCATATATATTTATGCAAACATCTAGCTTCCTGAATTTATATATATATGTGTGTGTGCATATATATCTGTATATATACACATACTTTAAGCTTGTACTTAAGTGCATATACATTAAGCTCTGAAGTACTTAACTGCATATATATGTGTACATATATACACATACTTAAGTTTATAAAGTGCAAACAATCCTCTTCTTCAAACTGGTAAAGTCTGTAAAATGCTCCCTCTTGCTCCTGAAACCAGGATTAAAGTTGTATATCTATTGCATACATATTTACATTGTTTATCTAACAGAACTAAGACTAAATTACAGTACAAATATTTGTCAATATTATTATATAATTATATTATTATTATATAAATAATAAGTAAATGCATACTTGTCAGCATCATTATATAAATATACTTTGGTCTCCTGACTAAGCTTTTCCAATTATTTTTAGTTGTTAGTAATTTCTTTATTAGATCTTCTGAGTTGAAAGGTCTAATTAGTTCGGTTCATCTGCTATCTTTTTTGCCTGAATTTACTTTGAACAGAAAGCTTTGAAGAGCATTGAAATCTTGACTGAGACCTTTATTAATCCCAAGAAAAGCATATAAGGTGTGTATGCCTTAACTATTTTAGAATAACACACGCTAACAGAGAGAGTAAAATCTTTCTAAATATCGAATAAGGAAATGAGAATTATTTCTGCCCTTTGTCACACTGATAAAACTCAAGACATCTTTAGAAAATGTCAATAAATTGTTTAAATCTAATTAAGCATTACTATTACAATATTGCTTACTTTGTTTTATGTTTTGCTGAGAAATGTGAGATTTTTTTTTAGACCCTTCCCTTTTTATTTTGTTTATGAAACTAAGATAATAAATTCTTGCCTGTTTCATCCGATAATGATGATTGATAATTGAGGCCAATTCAGTCCACTGAATATTTATATTCAAAAACAAAGAACAATTACACAGGAAACATCACAGCCTTAGATGGTTAATCTATTAATATATGTTGTTATTGTGTGTAGAGCGGTTTTTCAAATCTAGGCCATGCTCACCGGTGCAACCACTAGATGGCTCTAGGCTAACATCTCTCTTACAACATGGTGTGCTGGGTTACGGCAGGTTGTATTAGTGAGTTGTATTAGTGATGTCTAGCTGCTTCGCAGCCAGTAGCTACCCACGGTTAGCACAGGTGAGGTAAGGAGGTAGTTCTGGTAGATTCTGGGCCCTTAGGATACAAGTTCAGTCCCGCCTGGGCGTCCAGCAGCTGTGTGTTCAGCAGCTTCACATCAGCGACCACTCTGTGCGGTTCCTGGGGCTCCCCGTGCAGTTGGGAGTGTAAACCCTTTCTTAAACGTATCCTGTTTAACCCCTCCTGAACCTTGAGCATATCTCTGTGGCTGGTATCCAACCCTCCGTTTCCTGCCTTGCGGTCACACAGGGCACCCAAGCTGGTCACTGAAAGCCTTAACCCTGGCAACTGCAGTTGCTTCACTGAAATTTTGTTGGTGATTTTAGAAAAGTGTCACTCTGTTTTACTTAACTTAATTCTGCATTTTTAACAAATGTTTAAAGAGTATACACTGATAGCAAGAACCACAAATAGAGGGCTTCCCAGTGTCTGTTTAAAATGCATTCACTGTTTTCTTTCCTTCTTGTGGGCTAGCTACCCTATAAAATTGCACTTTTCTGACAACTCTGTGTGTGTTTTAAATGAGAGGAACGGAA